ATTTTTCAAAATGTATAATGTACGAATAATGTATGAATGATGTATGTATATATGTATGTAATATGTAAAGGCACATTTATGTACAAGAGAAAAAATAGTAAACAAGAATCAAACTATACAAGATTGATTGAAGAATAATCTTGCAAATCAATAAAATCTGCTGATGTTATTGAATCGGAAGAAATAGTAAAAATAATAAAAATAAAATCATATAATAATAATAATAATAATAATAATAATAATAATAATAATAATAATAAAGTAAAAAATAATAATTACTAAGAATTGCAACAACAACAACAGCAACAATAATTAATAACTTTTGTACAAACAAAATAAGTATTGAAGGATTAAAAATAAGACATGGTGTTGCCGGGTTGACGTTCTATAGATATCAATCGAGTAGTTAGGTGAGTGTTTTGTTACTATCTGTTTTTGATACATGAACTTTTGATTTGAATTTTTTACAAGTATTTCTCTCTACACTAGAATTATAGTGAATATATTTCTTCATTGCAGTAAAAATTTAAATTGTAAGAGAAAGGATGTTTGGATCAACCATTGAATATATGTAATAAAGCTGCTAAGCAAAAGCTCAAATTAGCCATGGGCGCCAATGTTGATTGTTTTCATTGGTGGAATCACCACATTGTTGATGGTGTTGTTCGTGTTGCTGCTTTTCTTTTTGTTTCTCTTCGCTTTGAATGTATTCTGCTGCAGTCGCAAGAATATTAATCCCGGATTCTAATCCCATATCTAAATCCGAATTTGCATGTCGGGGTTGATGATGAGGTACGCCAATATTCATCTGATTGAGATCATTTATCGAAGTAAGAAGATATGCATTATAATTGCTAGGAGGATATTGAGATAGGATTGGGGGTGGTAAAATTGGAACTTGTTTTGGAGGGGGTGTATTTGGTGGTGTGGTTGGAGAGCTTGGTGTTGTGGGTGAAGAGGATAGAGAATTAAATTGATGCGAGACGGGAAGATGGTATTGATTTTGTTGATTATTATCGGGATTATAAGGCAAAATTTTAACTGTTAACTTCTGTGATGAATGTTGTTGAGGTTGCAAATTATGAGATGACGACGACGACGAAGCAAATGAATTAGCATTATGGGATGAAGATGTGGTTGTTGCTGTTGCTGGTACGTGTGAGACAGTTGTGGCTCGAGGCCTTGTCTGTGATGAATTATTCGAAGTCTTCTTCGATGACGCAGAAGCTGAATGTCGCCGACCATTATATCCCTTTGAATGATGGCTACCAGATGATGGAATTCCATCGGCGAACATTGGAACGAAGGTATAATTACTTTGTGTTGGCATGCTGCTCACTGATGACGCATGGCCGCTAGCAGCTTGTGCTGGTGTAACCGAATGATGATGCAAGAAACGGTGGTGATGGTGATTGGACGAATTGGGTTCATTAGCCTTTGCACGATTGGCTTTTGCACGTCGATTTTGAAACCAAACCTGTAATATTATTTTTTATCATTAATATTTACTTTGTTATGACTAGGCTTGAATTTGAAAGCAAATCGTTACTAAATTACCTGAACTTCACGATTAGTCATATTAAGTTTCTTTGCTAATTTATCGCGAATTTCATAGTTCGGCGTGTCCGTTTGCTCAAACATTGCGATCAAATCGACTAATTGTTCTTGGGTAAATCTCTTGCGTTTGACTTTTGGAGGGATATGATGAGCATTATTATTGGTGGTATCATTCGTTGGAAATTGATAATTTGATCGTGATGTAGATTTCATCGAAGACTGGACTACGGCAGCACTATCAGCAGCTGATTTCTTTGTCGTTGATTGATAAAAATTATTTGTACTTTTAGGTGACGAAGGTGTCGAATGCGAAAACGTGCTCGGAATATGTTGAGGATTCTTGCTAGTATTATCCTGGTTATCGCCCGGATTTCCACAATAATTTATTATAGTCAAGTCGTTCATTGATTCCGAAGATAAATTTGGCGCAGAAAAACGACGCCAATTTTGAGAATAACTATCTTCTGATTTGACTTCATCATAATTGTAGTAGTTTTGACGGCTGTTTGTTTTCCCAGCGTCTGGATTAAGTAACGACGATATTGAGGAGTCAGACATTCTTTGAGAGTCATGTGTTGCCAAATCACTATTAGTCTTATTTTTGGTATTTGTCTGAGACCTGTTACTAATGTTGTACTGAGAAGTGGGAGACGACATTCTTCAAAAGAGTTTACTATTTTACTATTACGTTGAAAAAATAAGAAAAATTGTAAGAAATTGATAAAAGACACCCCATTTAATATTGTTTTTCTGTCTAATAAATTTGGTTATGTATCCATATGCATAGACTATTTCTTATGTTGCATTTTTGTATTGCTAAAAATGTATCAACAAAATATTATTACACGTATAAGGATACTTACGCTACTTTTTATATTGGAATTCTGCGCTCAGTGGGACCAGTAATTCGTGTAATTGCAAAGTAAAAGCGTATAAATTTTTGTTATGAAGTCCTTTTTTTAATTAGAGTCTTTAATATTTTTAGAAAAGAGGAATGCAAAAAGGTTATTGACAAGTTAAGTGTGTATATATATATAAAAGTAGTGAGACAGAGAGAAGTAGAAGCTTTATAGAGAGAAAAAAAGGTAGATAACATAATTATTACCGCACCACTAATCTGATTTATAGTGAGTTAATTTTTATAATGGTATATATGGGACAATATAAATAAAATAATAGAATAAATAAATATATATATATTTATGTACATAATTATATTTATTTATTTATTCTATTTAAAGTTAAATCATTCATTAATAATCCTCATAGTAATTATAATTATGATTAATGGTTTAACGAGAAACGATGAATATTTGACTAGTTATTTATTTTTTAGTTAAAATGGCTCATGATAATGAATGATGATGAAATCAATAGTGCATTATTATAATTATTTATTTTATTGGATTATAACGATAATTATAAGGGAATAATAATCACTTTACTATCATTGTCGCAATTATAAAAATTAATAAATTTTTACTATTTTAATAATTTTAATCCCGTGTAATTATTTATTTGTTTGCGTTGTCATTCAGTCATTTATTGATTTCATTATACCTTGTTAATGTGGTAATAATTAAATATTATTAAATGATCTAGCCAAAAGTGCATTATTTTGTGTATTCGTGTAATCCTCTTTTTGGGCGGATGCTGTCCAAATATAGGCAAATAAATCAATGAATAAAGAATCAAAAAAGTTTAATTAAAGAAAAGGGAGAACAAGATGTTCGAGGTGTTGGTTGTTGGGATGGACGACATGGAAAAGATTATGTGATTTCTATTTTTTCTTGATTTTCGTTTGAGTGGATGACTAAATTCGGAAATTTTCATTTATTGTAAAATAATTTATTTCGAGGTAATGAAACAAATAGTTTTTGGGGGAGGATAAAGTTCTCGGGCCAGTCGCCAATTTAGTAATTCCATTATCACCGTCATTAAAACAACTGTCCCAGCCAAGAATAAAAACCAAAACCGTTTTTGACTGTTACTATTCATTAACGTTAATGAGTGTTTCAAAGTTTTATCGTTGAACTGATACGATTTCCAATTCGAGTAATTTACAATTAATTTAATTTTTTTGCAAAAAAAAATACAAGTTTTGTAAACGTCAAATTAAAAATAAATTGTTCAGCCGATGCATACAACATTTAACATTGTCTCAGAATTACCAAAAAAAACAAAAAACAAAAAACAAAAGAAAATATCATCTTAGAATCTACTGATGCTTCACCTTTATCAATACTCGCAAAAATAAATTTACATAAGCCAACGTAGATTATGACTTGTTTGAATTTTATTGGTTCTTTATCTCTTCTTTTCCATCACGTCGGTCACTCCAGTTATTTATTTCAGCCCAGTGAAAATAAAGTTGTGTCATCTAGACTTTTCGTATTATACGCATTAGTACACTTAATTTGCAGGTATGGAAAATCTCGCGCGTCTAAATATGAAAGTAATTACTAGTTTTTCTATTATCTATCATGCGATGTGATGTAATTGGATGCAATGCACGACTAATTCAAAAAGAATGAATCAAAAAAATTAGCCCTTATTACTTTTTTTCGGACTCGCTCTAACTTCTTGCGCAGAATACAATCGTTATCTTTCGTTGGCTGTTTAGTTATTACAATTCAAAAAAGGCTAAAATAACAAATGAACAATAACAACGACAATTCCATAGAAATTATAATGAGACTGGAAATGGTAAATAGGAAGAGGATTCATCATTGAGGGCGATTATTCATTAAATACACCTTTATAACACCTTTTATCCCGTATTCAGTTTTTTTTTATTTGACAATTTTCTTTTTTCTCTACTATTTTGAACATAATAACTAGTTTAATGGCAAAGCGAGTGGTGGGGGTTTATCGGAAAAAAAAATAAAAAGAAGGATAGAGAAATGATTCTATGTACATGTATGTATATGTGATACGAGCACATACATAATGACGATTTAATCCGAAATCGGAATAATGATAATGGTAATTTAGAATTTCCTTTAGATTAAAAAGGAAAGATGAATTAACTGCTATTATTATCAATGAATGAGCAAAGTAAGACGGAGAAAGTTCATTTTGTGAAGTAAAATGCACAAATTTAATTGAAACAGTTCATTTTTGTGAAGTAAAATGCACGAATTTAATTGAAACTTTCCTTCTTGACAGAACAGATTCTTCAAGATGATGTTTAATTTCGATAATGGCCACACGAAAATAGAAGTCTCAAGATCTCACATGATACAAAGATTGATATCTCACATAGATTGCATAGATGGACAATATGCAGGGACAACGAAAATCCTTGTCATTTTTAATCGCTTTTTGCTTTTTGAATACTTTACTTAATTCGCGGTAAGGAAATTGAGAAGAAAAAATTGCCAAGTAAACTTATCAGGTGTTTATACTGCAATTCTGACGAAATGATTCAACATCATCTCATTGAATTTGAAGAGAAGCAGAAAGATCAAATCATTTCCATAAACTTATGCATACCGGCTTTTACTAAAGTGCATACACACTTCTTAATATGGTAAATCTATTAATTCAAAAAAAAAAACTCGCCCAGTGTTGAATAAGGAAGCAATTTACCTAAATTATCTCTAATTAATCTATTTGTGGATTCGTTTGTGGTCATTTGATCATTCCAATTAATGATAATTTCCTGGTCTAGCCATTCTATTATTCCCAGTTGTTCGATTCTTTATTTTTTTTGATTGACTGTTTTCGAAGGAATGCTTAATTTATGATTGGATTCACGATATTTATAGCCAAAAATAAAATCTTCTTTACTTGCTCTTAACGTTAAATGAATATGCTATATTAGGGTATTTCATTAATCGAAAAAAAGTAATATAATCTTGCCAACATTATAAATAAATAATAAATAAATAGTAAATAAGCTATATAGTATGAATGGTTCTCGAATCTACCAATTACAGAAACACAATGGACACTTGTTTTGTGAGGATAAGGGTAAAAAAAGAAAAGCAAACAGGTTATTCTTCTTGTGTCGCGCATACATACACGGACATTCAGTACTTCCCAAAACATCGGAACGAAAATTACAAAAAAGCTCCGAGTTATTATTTTATTTATTGTATTTATTTATTCATTCATTCATTCATTCACTCATTACCATTTGTGATATTTTAATAGATATGTGATCTCTTTATAAGGCAATTTTCATTATCCGTTCCATAGAATTATGAAATCCCATCTCAATCAACCTTGAAAGGATACCAATAAGGTTATAGTTGCTGACACTGCTAGTCGTTGCCAACCATATATCGTAAATACCCCCCAAAAAGAAGACGAAAATTCTTACAAATACAATTTTGTAAATTTACGCCCACTCACATAAATTCACTTATTCGTCCTTTCGTTAGTTTACTTATTCGTTGTCAATTCCTATTCGGAATTTTAATATTCACTTTTTTTACAATAAATTACTATGTACGTCTTTTGGGGGTACTTAACGAAAATAAAGTAGCGTAATGTTACTTGTGTTATATTGTTATTGTCGCCCTCTATTTTTTTGACGTATGAAACGAAATTGATTTTTAAATCTCGACAAAACCCGTTTCATCCCGGAAAAAGAAAATACCAATCATGTATTTCTTATTGGAATAATTTAAAGGTAATTTAGCGCCATTCTTTTTTCATATGTGTGTGTGTGTTTGTGTTATGGTTAAAGTTTTCTTTGTTCTCCTCCTTTTAAAATCTGCATTTTGTCTATCAGCATTTTGCGTTTGTATGTTATCATCATCATAAACTTGTGTATTACGTTTCAGTACAAATATTCATAAACAAATTAGCTCATTTTTCTCGCTCTTACTTAATTTGATTTATGCAAGCAAGGTTGATTAAAATCAGAGATTTTATTGTTCTTTCTTATTACATACCTAACAAACATTTCACTGCATTTTAGGTTAGATTGCAAAAAATTCAGATTGAAGCCACTTAAATGGCTATTTTTTATTCTAGATCTTCAAATTTATGCAATCCCTTAAATCTCTTACATTAAATTAAGCTTGTGTACTGTGTTATGTAACATAATTTTGTTAAATTAATAATACCTGAATTTTCTCCTCTTATTCTTGTAGCTCGCACATATTACCTTTATATGAACAACAATTATTATGTTCACATCAAATGAAAAAAGTGGGTCTTAAAAAATCAAGTGGGATAAAGTCAAACAAAATACTCTTCTATGTGACGTAGTAAATCTTTAAATCGATTAACTCAGGTTTTCGATTTAAGAAGATTTTTTCTTATATGTTTATATTTGTGTAGCAAAGTTTTTTTGAAATAAAGAAAGACAGCTTGGAGAGTAATTTATCTTGCACAATTTACTTTATTCTTTAATTTTATAAATAAAATTGTAAGAAATTTATTAAATCTTACGGAGCCGCATACTAAGTTTCAAATTTCATTGTTTAACTGCCGAAGACTTTTATTCTTATTGGACCAACTTAAGACATCCTATCCGCAGAAGCTCGAAAATATTTGTTTCACGTGAATTCTGTATATAATAAATCATCATCATTTTATGATGCAGCACTTAGATATTAAAAAAATTAGCCTTGTTTATATAAAAAAAGGGGGATGGCTAAAGCGGGGGTAACGCATGAAATTATCAAATTAATAACAATTTT